AGAATCGGTAATGGGTCAGGGAGAAAAAAATACTTTGGGGTGAACGAGGTTCAAAATCTCGACATCAGGATAACCCTTCAAACTACGACAAATATGCAAATTACACTTGTAGTTGGAGAGTTTGATTTAGGGTCCACTTGATTACTCGAGTTTTAAAATGGAAGTTTGAGGAAATGTTTTAAATGTTCTCGACATCAGGATAACCCTTCAAACCTCGTCGTCCCCACCAAGTTGTGCACAATGTAGAACTCATCTTTGTATTGTTCTTCAATCAAGTTTGGGGAAATTATTCACAATCATAAGTGAAATCCATTTTCATGATTTGCAGATTTTCAAAGTAACAAATAAAAAATCACATAATTGTCAAGGAAGAGAGATCAGAGTAACGATTAACGATTTTCAAAGTAACAAATAAAAAATCACATAATTGTCAAGGAAGAGAGATCAGAGNTCAATCAAGTTTGGGGAAATTATTCACAATCATAAGTGAAATCCATTTTCATGATTTGCAGATTTTCAAAGTAACAAATAAAAAATCACATAATTGTCAAGGAAGAGAGATCAGAGTAACGATTAACGATGCTAGTTCTCTCATCTAGCTCCATATTCCAATTTTCTGAATTTTCAAATTTTCTAGATAATAATCAAGAGATAATTTGATTGTTTGTGCAAATGGCCTTTGCCCTTGTTTTCCATTTTACAATCATCTGTTAGAGAAAGCCACTTTGAAGTAATCCCAGTGGAGGCGAAGATCGTGTTGGANCCTATGTTCCAGATCTGGAAGCCATATCTGGCAGTCGTGACAGCGCCGACCAGTGAAGGGAAGCAGGGAGCGCCAAGGGAACCTGAGAGAGGAAGAATGAAGGGCGGCGGCAGCTGTGGCGAGATTCGCCGGAGAGGAGAAGAGAGAAATGAAGAGATAAAGAGAGAGTGAGGAAGAAATGTTCCCTCATCTAGCTTTGTCAAGGACAATCACCCTAAGAAAATCTAAAATTAATATATTTTGTCTCAACTTAGGAGTTTTTTACCATGAATTTATTTGATAAACTTGCAAGTGTTGCTTGGAGACAGCCTCGAACTATTGCATATTTCTTCCCTTCCTCGTTCGATTTTTACCTAATTAATGATCCAAATTAACAAAATGTGAGTGAAAATTATTGGACATACGACAAAAGTTTTAGACTAAGCTACAAATCACAAAAAGGATGAAAAATCTCTATTCGTGAATTATTGCGTATCATTTAGAGACTAATTTCATTTAAAACACAAAAAATATTTTTAAAATCATCTTGTAAATAGTTGAGGTTCGAAATCCATTCCACAATAAGTCTCAACCGCCTGATCCATTCACGAAGCTATTAAGTCCTAATGGAACATATAGCCTAATTCCATCCTTTTTTATTTTATCTATTTCTCACCGAAATCAATATTTCACTGTCTCAAATTTAGTTGGAAGTCATTTAATCTCTCAATTTCAAATTTGTAACCTATTTTTTAAAAAAAACTTGGTCTTTAGAACAAATTTAATCACCTATTTTTTTTAAAAAAAACTTAATAATATTTTCATAATATAATATAATAAATTATTTCAAATTTTAAAAGTAAATAAACTAAATCCTTAACAACCAAAACTTCATAGGTTGAACTATTTGTTTTATAAAAATTGAAACTATGACTGTTTTTTAACCATTAAAGTTTCTATCATGAACTATTGTTATTGATTAGTATAAAAAACGAACAAGAAATCTAATCCATAACATCGCCATTAAACTTGATCATCATAACAGTTGGCCTCATCTGCCAATTGAAGTTTTCTTATTCGAAAAACCGATCCTAGAATAATGTAATCTGAAACATCATATTGCAATTTCTTAGAGAAAACAGAGCAAAAAATGAGACGAACTCGTACCTCCACCGTCCTTTGTACTACGGAAGTTTCCGATCGAAGAATCTCGAGAGAGATAAATCCAAGCTCTTCGAAGAAACCTCTGTGCATCTTCGTCCAACACCATTTTTCATTTCATCCTAAAAGGTAGATACAAGAACAGATCAATAAGAGCATAAGTTTGAGAGAGAAAACAAAAACTACGATTGAGAGATTAGGTATTAGAAAAGCGAGAAAGAAAAGATGAAGAAATCGAGCATATCTATTCGAAAACCTGATCGGATCTCCAAACTGGAGAACTTTCGAAAGCTTGTTCCCTCTTGCTTCCTGGTTTTCCCCCCTCTCTGCATCTTTTTTTTCCTTTTCGCGCCGTGAATTTGAACATTTTTCCTCCCAAAAGACCATATATATACCCTCTCGGCTGTGGGGCCCATTCAGTGAACCCGCTTTTCTCTGTGCGAAGAATTTTAATTTAAAATTTGCATTAATTCTTTAATTATTCATTTTCTTTTTATGAACCATTCCATGTCAACCTTAAAATAAGATAATTATTGCAATAATGCTACACTAGTTAAACTATATTTTAATAAAAAAAAAAAAAAAACATAAATATAACCTTAAAATAAGATAATTATGGCAATTACAGTCATGTAAATACCAAGAAATTTGAATCGATTACTTTATAGATGATGAATGTCTTAACTAGTTGAACTATATTTTAACAGAAAAAAAAAATAATAACTTAATTTAAACCGTATACATGTTCACCGACAAAATAATAAGTTAAATATGTTAGATTAACACGACTCTCCACAATGGTATGATATTGTCCACTTATATGTTTTAATCGGTTAAAATAATAATAATAATAATACTAATAATGTAAGAACAATTTTAAAGGAATAATTTTACAATTTAAAATTCAAGGTGGGTTTTTTTTGTACCTTTTCAATCGAAAGATGGGCTTGCCTTTTGGGCTCCTCTATAGGTAGTTGGCTCCCTTTTGCCTCCACCATAGCAGTTGGTTCTGAACCATCTTGGAAAAAATAGGCGATGGCGCAGTGGTGCGGCGCATTAGCTAAGCGAGTGATGGCGGCGGAGCGACGGTCTCCTTCACCGACGTCGTCCATGGCGGTTGAAGGACTG